TAACCATAAAATGATATAATCTTTGTGAATGAGGTTTTGTATTTTTTTTTTTTTTGAAACAAGACTGTCCTAAGTACCCTGCAAAGGTGCCTCACCTGGTTCACCCAGCCTCGTGATCTGTTCTTGCTGTCTCTGTCACTCACTGAGTTCCCACGCAGAGCATCCTCTCTGGCCACTTCTCAACAGGCCACCTTTCGGTCTTTGTACAGCAGTTGTTTCTGCTTGAAGTACTTTTCCCCCTGATTTTCATGTGGTTGGTTCCTTCTCGTCCTTAGATTTCAGTTTCTGAAACAACAACCCAACCGCTCTCCATCATACAAATATTTTTAAGATTCTCTACATAGCATTTATCACTTTCGATATTTTCTTGCTTATTTCTACATTCAAACTATTACCTGCACTAGAATATAAGATTTCTAAAAGCAGAGGCTTTGAGTGTCTGATTCACTGTCGTACCCACTGCATCTGGTGCGTAACAGGCACTCGATAAATATTTGTTGCATGGATAAAAGACAAGTAATGTACTGTCGTTGCAGTGCCACAGAATTTTCATGGAAAAAGTCACAAGCTTTTTGGACTTAACAATATTGCTCTTTGATTGTACTTGATTCTAAAACATTCTTCATTTTAAACAAATATGTTTCCATGTCTCCGTTGTAGACATTGCCATCGGTGTGCCCTTTGCAGGCAAGGATCAAAGAGGCAAAGTGCTCATTTACAACGGGAACAAAGATGGCCTAAACACCAAGCCTTCCCAAATTCTGCAAGGAGTGTGGGCCTCCCAGGCTGTCCCTTCTGGATTTGGCTTTACTTTAAGAGGAGATTCAGACATAGATAAGAATGATTACCCAGGTAAGGTTTTCTTTCTTTCCATACATGAGCGATCACTTCCTGGAAAAGGTCCATTGTCTAGAAAACACAGCGCACGTAAGCAGTTCTCTCCTACCAATGAAGGCCAAGCTTCAAGATGGAACAGGGTTTTTGTGTATGATTCCGGAGTAAATTTCATGAGAATTTGAAGGAAGACAAAACAAACACTCCCTTTCCTATCAAGAAACAATGACAGAAATGCAAGATGGCCTAAAAAGCTGCATTGCACATAAAACTTCCCAACCCAAGTTTTCGTTTGAAACTCCTGAGTCATTTGGCCTCCATTGACAAAAACAGCTTGCATCAGACACCTTTCTAGAGCAATTTATTTTAACCCTGTAATTCCCTTTTGAGCTCGTAGTTACTATTAATATTAATTAATGTATGAACCTCATCGTTTCTGTCAGGAAGCTCATGTTTTTTAAGCATAAATATTGTCCAGCCCTATTTTGTGAGTTCCCAATGATAGACTGGATATTTCAAAGTGTAGGAAAAAACAACTGGTTCATGATAGGAATCATAAACTATTCTTGATTTCCTAATTCATATTGAAGGCTCATGGAAAGTCATAAAACACAGATAGATGATTTATGTTTTGTGCATGCTAAATGAAAATATAAATTTGTCTTAAAGGATTATTTCAGTAATCAGATTTTTTAAGCGGAGAACATCAGACTTCTTGGTTTTATGGTTTGATTTTCACTTTTATGTTGGTTATTTTAAGATGGTTTCAATAAGTACTTGGAAATCATTAATAGTTAAATGACAGCTTCAACTGCTTGTGAAAACCTTGTCCCTTTCCACCAGTCCCTCCCCTAAGTGGGAATTTTCCATATGTAGAGCTTTTTTCTGGTTTGGGGTAGCAGTCCAATAAGCTGACTGCCTAAATATACATCATTAATTTCAATCCTTGGCTTTCTCTTCTCCTCTGGGTTTAGGCATAAAGGATACCGCAACATATTCTTTTAAATTTGCCAGAAACCTTTCAT